ATCATCTATATATATATGTTCTAACTCTAACCCTCTAAGACCAACTCTTCCTTAGCCAGAAGCAAAGACTTCACTAATCCCCAGCCTAAGTCTTCTTTACCCCAGAAGCCAACACTTGCTTAATCCCCACCATAATTTTTCTCTAATCATAAGCCTAAACCCTGTTCTAATTTACAGCCTAATCCACAACCTAACCATTCCGAGGTAGTGAAGACTAAAGAGAGAACTAGGTGTTTGATACTCAAGGCTGTAGGCAGTCAGATACTCACTTGTTCATCCCTTTTCAGCAAGGATGACATCGGGATTCTATGCCATTAGTCCATGCTGGCTTCCTTTCTGCAGCTTCCGCCTGTCGTATTGGTATCCCTGCAGAAACAGCTAGTCGTGCATATGCGAACCTGTAACAACGCAATGCACATATTATGTAGAGAGAACGTAGTGCTGCACAACGCGCAAACACACGAATGCCCACACCCACAGACGCACGCACGCACGCACGCGCATATACACGCGTAGGATGCACGCATGAACACGCACTCATATGTACACGTGCACACGTTCGCACGCACACAGTCACTAGTGAGCCAGACGATCACATGAACACATGCATAGTCTCTGCGCAGACTGATTACAACTAGTAGACGTTTCAGTAGCAAGTTCTAACGCGTTTTCGTGGCTGTCTCCTCGATATTGACGCCCAGCTTTCCCTTATCAACATCACATCGTGTGTCAATAACCCAGATGTGAGGGGATAGCTCGTTCACCTGACAGTCCGACACACGCACGCACTTACGCACGCATGCACGCAAGAACACGCACAAACATACATACACACATGCGCACGCACTTACGCACACGTGGACACAAAAACACCGACGCACGCACGCATTCGCGCAAGGGAAATGCTAATCCCCGGGCGTGGAGAGGCAGTACCGCAACGTGGCAGCACTAGCTGTGTTAGGATTAGGGTTAGGATCAGGGTTAGGGTTAGGGTTAGGGATATAAGGCCATGTCTAGCACTGAAGTATGACTGTGGAATCTTTCTGTGGAAGATTTGGACTTTGAAGTCGCGAACTGAATTGTCCCTCCACGCCCGTGTAATAGCAACACCCTTCGCGCAAGCACGCTCGAGCGCGCCCAGACACGCACACATGTACACACACGACGGCCAGCCGGGCATGTGCCAACACACGCAGGAGCAACGACGTCCACAGGTCGTCATCTCTCGATCGCTCCATAGCTGCTGCTAGCTGACATGTTGAGGCCAGTAGCATTAGAACCATAGACACATACTGATGTGACTCTCACCGCCATGTCACCAATAATCACCCAAAGCGCTGCAGCAGCAGTATACGTCAAACAGCGACCGAGTCCACCGAAATGCACAAATTTAAATTGCATTCTCAGCAGTAGGTGCATGCCAGCTGTCAGGTGAAACACCGCCAGTACACATTACTATAACGTCTTACGACCTACTGTTACCGCACCACATGTCCCCTGATGGGCTCGCAGCTTCATAGGTTAGCCTAGTACTGGATTAACAGTGGAAAGCAGGTAGTACTGGATTAACAGTGATAACCCCACTCCGGCCACCTACCTACACTTCCTACTACTGTCCGATATCACTGTATAACGTCAGAGCCACCATGCACACTTTCCTACTACTGTCTGATATCAATGTATGACGTCCGAGCCACAATGCACATTTTCCTACCACTGTCCCGCTATCACTGCATGACGTCAGATCAATCAACCAATGATGTCCGACCAGCTAGTCATGCTTACTTCCTACCGCTGTATCATACGCGTATGACTGCATGACGTCAGAGCAGCCAGCATTGCTTTCTTCTTAACGCTGCTTTCGCAACGCTGCACCACAACCGCATCACTGTATGTGGTCAGACTAGATAACCATGCTTTCCTACCACTGTATCACCACCAACAGATCATCCACCAACCCACTGGCCACCTAATAATGTACTGGTCACGCAATTACCCAGTGGTTACGCCATAATCAACTGGTCACCCGTAACCTCACTGGTCACCAAAGAACCGACTGGTCACACAAAAACTCACAGGTCTCTCAATAACCCATTGGTCACACAACATCACAATGGTCACCAACTAACCCCCTTGTTACGTGACAGCCCACTGGTCACCCAATAACCTAATAGCGACTCAATAAGCCATTGGCCACGCGACATCCCGCTGGTCGCCGAACATCTCACACCTTGCTTATTGAAACATAGCGTCCGTCCCTTACACGGAAACAGCTGACAAATACACAATGCGCACGCGTCCCCGCAAGCACTCATGCCCCGCCACGCACCCCACCACAGCGCTCGTTTACATGGGTGCGTTTCCTAAAATAACGCGTTACTGCAAGCTTGCTGTGCAAGCGAACTTCGTACGCGGCACTCCTACTAAATACGTGCAGGAGCGGATCGGCGCACATTGTGTAATCCAAGTCGCAACCACCTCCACCTCCTCCTTCTCTACACACGCATGCATGCACGCACACGCGCACACACGCACACACGCATGCACACCCATACACGCACAAGCCCCCGCGCGCACACACGCATGTTATGTACGCATACACACGCACACACCGCACACACACACGCATAGACACACGCACACACCGCACACACACACGCATAGACACGCGCACGCACGCACGCACGTACACACATGGCACAAGGTACACAAAATATACGGCGCGGGTACAACGAGAGACTAACGTCAATATACACAGGTCTTCTAACCCTAGCAAAGACCGTTTCTTGGAGCTACACATAAATATGCCTGCGATGTACAGCCATGCATGTACACCGCACATGTGTGTCCGTGTATCTCCACATGTAAGCTCACCACACACATGTCTCCCACGTAACTCATGAATGCATTTAGCTGTATGCGCCGACATCTCACTGCGCCCCCATACGCACATACATCGTTAGTTTCCTAACACCACTGCCATGTTACTCCCGTAACATAATGATATATATATATTATATATTATATATTATATATATATATATATATATATATATATATATATATATATATGTATATATCTGCAACGCATGTATGTCATGCATGTCCATAGAGTGCAGCGAATATCTACCTATCTCCTCGACCATATATCACTGCTGTCTTCGTAACATATTTACTATACAAGAGGTTTGATGTTGTAGCTAGGCCTATACGCTCGCCACTCCAGGGTGTTTGCTCCCGCTACGCACACGCCGCAGAAGATGCACATCTCCCTGAAAACACATCCTGCACGTCTGTCATATACGCAGCAGACACCCACACCATGTTCAAACACCTCTCGCGGGCACACAACTCCTAGCCCCACTCCGTGACATACGCTTACGCGGCGATGCACAACACAGTCGCAATAACAAAAAAATTCTCGGGAGTGCGCCCGACACGGACATTCAAGCAAAGCGAAACTTCGAGCAAAGAACTGCCAATGTCGTGAACTTCTTATATGCGGTAACCGGGCGTTGCGTAGACAGTGAGTGCCGCTGTGTTCTTGTAAACAAGGATACGCGGGCCGAATTTAGCCGGAAAGTTCAATGTTGGGCCTTCGATCGGCCAGGATAGGAGTCCTTCGCGCAAGCACGGATACGGCCCCGTGGATACATATGCTGCCCTTCGCTCTGTCACAGGTCTGTGGCAGAGCGAAGGGCTATAGTTCTAGTGCTATGGTGGAGCCGGCCTGAATCGAGAAACGCTCGGTCGTGCGCAAACGAAATCAACACTGCTTTTGCGAATAAGACGGCGGCGTATGGATAAATGAATGGTATAACTATAAGGCTGACGTTAACCCGGGTGTAGGCACGTGATCGTACAGGGTAGTACAGGTTCCCTTGTACAACAGATAGACGTGCTATTGCAATTAAGCCAAACACGGTATATCGTAGTACGGTACTACAACCAAATGATTACTACAATAAATGCATACTTTAAAATTACCACAAAGCATAGTTACAGGGCATACAGTACTTAACAACAATACCAGCCGGTAGTCATATACACGAACTTTACAAATGGTTGCAAATAGAAATCGCTCATTGGCTGCATTAAAAGCTGGATGAAAGGGGCACACGTTATGGCTTTTATACCAAAATTACAGAATTCTGTTCCATTAACAGACAAGAGAATCTTTGGGCAGGAATGACGGGGAATTATCTCATTAACTAATAAATCAGCAACTGTTTGAGCTGTCTTATCCTTGACTACATAACATTTAGGCCAACTGGTTAACATGGAAATGAATAATATATCTATTCCCCCTAGGAGTCAGCGGAAATTTCCAAGTATCGACTGATAGAACTTCGAAAGGTGCATTAGGTATGGGAGCACTTCCCAACGGTGAGGACATGTGCTGTAACTTTCTAGGATTACAAACAACACATCTACAAACATACTGATAAATAGCAGCATACATTTCCAACCAAAAATATCTGCTTCTGATTTTGGCGTAAGTCTTTGAAAAGCCTAAATGAGCACTGAACTTATCATCATGATGTGCCGAAATGATAGCGTTCTAGAACTCTTGCGGCATAACATTAACAAGTTCAATGCTAGCCTCTTGCCGTTGAGATGGTTCGGTAATATGATACAACAAATCGTCGTCATCAATCATATACCTAGATAAGCACTTGAGTTCCTTGACAAAGGTCGTAGGTGACGTAATGGCGAAACGTATTGTATAGAGCTGTGGGTCAAGATATTGAGCGCATTTCATCAACTCAAGATCGAATAATAACTCACGCAGTTTTGTTTTTGCATGACTTTCAGTTTCATAGTGAGTTTGATCTGTATCATCTGCTGAGGCAAGATCAATAGGTGCATTATCTTGCTGTGAGGCATCTCTCTCTCTCTCTCTCTCTCTCTCTCTCTCTCTCTCTCTCTCTCTCTCTCTCTCTCT